AGGGCCCGGTGCCGGTGCCGGTGCCGTTGCCGGGCGTTTTTCGGTCTCGGATATTAATGCATCATGGGCATTGTAAAATGTTCGTTAAGCTTCTGGCAAAGGCAACCACGTTGCCAACTACTACTACTACAGCAACAACAATGAGGCGTCTGCTGCCATAAAATTGCGACGACAAGCAGCCCACAGGGCCAGCGTCTGGTTTGTGGGCGCGGCTGTGCTGTTAAAGGGGGGGGGGCGACGCTCGCGCTTATGCGGTTTTTCCCGTACAGTCTGACAAAAGCGTCGTCGTGCAAGGACTTTGCCCAGCATCTCAGCCAAATTGAAGCACGGCAGCACCACCTCACTCCTCACACACACACACACACACGCATACACACACATGCCGCCAGTGGCAACTGCCATTACAACTACTTATGGCCGTCACTGTTTTAAAATCAAAAGTCGACCGGCACGGGCTTAAAGGCAGACATTTTTCGGGTGGCGAGCGTTGTTTTAGCTGGCGTATCCTGTGTGTGCCCCCCCCCCCCCCCCCCCACCCTCTTTCTCCCTTACCGCGGCCCAATAAAGCTTACGTCTGTAGGTTTTATGAAAATAAATTGTGCTTTATGCTCGATTATTACCGTAGACTTATTGGGCTCATGCTGAAGCGCTCCAAATGCGAACGGGTTTAGGCCAGCCGCCGCCGCCAGCGCGCCCCGCCTCTCCCCCTTAAGCTCAGCAGACTCTCAGCTGTGGCCTTTGCATCCGGGGCAGCCATGTGTGTGTGTGTGTGCTTGTCTGTCTGTCTGTCTGTCTGTCTGTGTGTGTGTGTGTGTGTCCTGGCCTTGGTCCTTGGTGTCCCGTCTTTGGCAACGCTGTTGTAATTGTTAAGATTTTGTTACTTCAATTTATTATTGCGCCCATACGACCTGCCCAATGTGTGTATGTGTCCATATGTGTGTGTGTGTGTGTGTAATGTGTGTAGTGTCCTTTTCTGTGTGTGCTGCTTCTTCTTCGCAGGATGAGCTCTACGGCCTTTGCTTTATGTGCTTGCTGGGGTAATTTGCATTTCACGTTTCGGTTTCGGTTTCGGTTTGGGATTTCGGTGCGGCTGCACTCAAATGATTCGTGATTATGCGCAAAGTTGTTATAGTTTCTGATTATAAGCACCCATAACCACCCACACATTCAACCAGCCACCCGCCCACCGCCAGCTGAGTAGCCCTTTGCAAGGAACACACACGCACCTGCGATTGGCCCAGGTTTAAGTTCTCGACGCGTCGCTCACTTAAAGGCAACCTACACCATACAAAACGTTTGACCTCAACCCAAACCCAAACTCACACCCAACTCCTCCCGCTGGAGCACTTAAACCCAAAGACAACAACCAACTGGCAACCTGTAATTTTCCTATACGACTCATAATTGTTACCCTCGCCGCTTGATGACCATAGAAAAAATATGATATCAAACTCGAAGCAGCTAACCCAAAAGGTTGCTGTCTTAAAACGGAATGAGAACTTTAGGATAACTTCGCCACGCCGAAAATTGAATATCTAATAATAATCTTGGCAACAGAATAATTTGCCATACAAAAACTCAGTTTTCGAGGGTTTCTGATATTATAGTAGTGAAAAAATTTGGATAAATGTAAATGCCAGGCTTGGTCAAGATAGCATGAAAAACTTACCAAAAGTTCATTTTCGACTGATCGTTCCTATGACAGCTGTATAATATAGTTTTTTAATGTTTATCAGGTTCTGTAAGGAACATAATGAAACTCATGGATATATGATATAGTGTTCGGATTCATCCAATATATAGGCAAGTTTTTGGGACGTTAACTTAAAAATAATGTATGACTCATTCGAATGTTCATCCGTGTTCACTTTAAGCACTTCATCTTTGTATTTCAAGCAAATGCCAAGCAAACTATTGATGGATTACCAAAGACAGCCTGTTTATCATACATGCAGCATGCTCGTGTCCTCCATGTTCACTTAGGAAACTGTCAATTCGTAAGCAGCTCGTGCTTCTTGTGTTCCTTTGAGCCCATGTTCTCCATGCTCACTTCAATTGCGCTGCAGACATTTGTCGGTTGTCTTAGTTCAACTGAGCAGCCGACTTGGACTTGACTGGGCGTCCTCCATGTTCACTTGAAAGCCCATTAAATTCGCTTCCAGCCGCGCAGCAAACTGAATGGGAATGTTAAAGCAATCGCTATTGGATTAAGGCGTATCACAAAAATAATTAAGCCTTTCAGAGCTCACTGAAATTACGGGCTGGACAAGCGAGCGTTGGAGGTGGCTCAATTGGGGGTTCAGCTTGGTCGGGGGAGGGGGAGGGGGAAGGGTACGAGCGGGTGGGTGTTGGGTCGCTGAAAGTACAAAATTAACAACTTCATTGATAGGCGGCCCAGCAAACCAGCAAAGGGCTAACAAATGAAGTGTGAGGCCGGGGGGCAGTCCACCAGTGGCCAGTGGGCCCTCCTGCCCACTGCCCCTGACCCATGAGCCCTGCCTGCTGCCCGCTGGACTCGATGGGGTTAGTCGTGGCGATAATGGTGCGTGACCACGCATCAGGCAACGATTTTGTCAGGGATTCCACTCAACGAAACCCCCCGTGCGGCCACCTGAGCTGACATTTAGCCAAGCTGACGAGTTAATAACCCTTTTTAGCGGGCGTGTGAATAGCCCTGGCCTTGCATGTGTGTGTGTGTATGTGTGTTTGTGTGGACACGCGACTGACCAGCGTGGATTTTAGAGCTGTGGAAAGGAGACAGAGCCGGGCCGAGCAGGTGAACAGGGTCAGGGCCAGGGCCGTGGCTGGCGCTTAAGTGGCTCGAACGCCCTTTTAGCATATGGGGGACGCGCGTTGCGGCCGTGCATGTGTGGAAATGGCAGCAACTGGTGAAAGGGTAAGCCGAATGGTAGTGGAAAAGTAAGTACATTGGGCAAGGGAAAAGCCAGTGGTTAAAGTAAACTCTGTGGCCAGCAGCGCATCGGTTAATTGAATCAAGTCACGTGATGTGAATAACAAAATGATATCGAGAAACGCGCACTCTAATTGACAAGTAAAGCCAGACCCCAACCCCCAACATCCAGCCCCCACCACGACTCGTGTGTGTTTGTCTTTGGACGTCTCTTTCAGGTTTTTAATATTGCATGAGCGAGTCGAGCACATTTAATTTAGCTGCTTGTATTTGCATTTGACTGGTCAGCGACCAGCAACGTTCGACCAAGGCACCAAAGCATTCAAAGGCCCCTCCTCAACCCCCTATCGCTTTGCAGGCCCTTGGCAAATGTTGTCGTCAAAGCGACCGCAGTCGAAGATCTTAAAGAATTTTGTAAGATGTGCAGCCATAGCAAAGCCAAAAGCAGCTACAAAGCACTTCAAGGCAAAACTGCAACTTGCGGCCATACGCACACACACACACACACACACACACACACACACACCCTGGCATCACCTAGAGCGACCCAGTTGGGCCTGGCTGGCAAGTTTTGAGCCAAGAAATCCAAAACCACACTAAAGACGCCAAAAGATGCAAAGGCGCAAACCGAAAAACGAACCCAAAAACCAAAAAGGAATATATATATACATATATATATGTATAACCCCTCACCCCCCTCAACCTCAATCCAAGCCCCTGCTGCTGCTGCTGCTGCTGCTGCTGCTGCTTTCATTCACTCCAATCTGGTATTTCAAATAGTCCTCCCGTATGCATTTCCCTTGGCCGTCTTTGTTTTTTCTTTAGCCACTCTGCGGCTGTTTGCTTTCATCGTCTATTACGACACCACACACACACGCACACACAGACACAAACACACACTTTTGGGGCTTTTGCCCTGAAGTCTAAAGACATTTTTAAGGCCATTCGTGTGGTCGATGCGACGCTGAGATTTTCGTGCAAATTGCAAGGCTTAAATTTCATTTCAATTTTCCAAATTGTTGCCTCAAATTGCGCCATTCGCATTCCCTTCCCCTATCCGTTTCCCTTTCCCTTCCCCACTCGACCGCCTTAAAATAAACCATACAAGGATCATGAGCCGAGCCCCAAGAGTACAAGTGGTCAGCAACCCCAATCACACATTCAATCCATCCCTCCTCCACCCTAGCACATATAATCCGTGCATGAATTCTCTTGAATACATTCACTTGCGATTTCTGCTGCAAAATCAAATTGAATTTCTGTTCATTTAAACATTTTTCTGTTTCAATTTTGTATTTATTTTTAATTTAAGTATTGAAAAAAGTAAGCTGGGCTAATTAATATTATATGTGAATGTATTACGAGCATATACGTATTATATATGTGCGTGTGTGTGTGCGTGGGCGTATGTGTGCTATGTGCATGCATGCATGTATGCATGCAACTATGAATATATGCATGCATGCATGTTCGCTTTGTAATACCAAATGCAGACCAAGCTTATTTGACGCTCTGCTGCAAATTCAAATAAGACGAATTTTAATCAAGCGCTCTACTCCTCGATTCTCAAGAACTCAAGAACGCTCTGCTCTTTCCCATGCTTAGCTAGTAGTGTAGTGTGTGAACAAAGATATTTGAAAATAAGTTTGAGACCGATCGGATGGTTAGCCAAAAAGCCCAGGTTACCTGGCTGACCTTTAGAGCAAGGATAAATGCTTGAAGCAGAGCTATTCGGGCTTAATATGCGAGATTTTTAGTAGCAGCAGATATTAACTTGCACATATTACACGAATGTTGTAGATCCTATTAATAAGAATTAACAGAACCCAGACACCAGCTAATAGACTCTATGGCCAGCAGCATAGACATCAGTTCATGTATACGTTTTATGTAATTTTCCAATCGGAAATCCTTGAGATGCTTTATATAAAAAGAGAATGCTGTGACTAAATATTTAAAATTTGATCAGAAGTACGTAGCCTGGGCATCTACTGTCATCCAGTTTCTCATGTAGAAACTACACACGAAATACCTTCAGTTCGACTCTGAGCTCAGTAGAGAGAGCAACAAAACAAAAATTCTATATTTTCGGAAAAAAAAAACCAATTTTAATAAAAAATGTAAAAGTCCAAAATGTAGTTTAAGTTGATTTAAGTTTTTTTTTTTTTTTGTTTTTAGCTTGTTTTGGTTTGTCGTGTAAGTTATCTGCACTCTTATAAAATTCCTCCTCTCTCAATGCGTTCTCCCTCAGTCGAGCCGGCCCTAGGAATCTATCTAGAGCAGCCGAAGGACAGATCTGTTATAGTTGTTGTAAATACTGGACATATCTCCAGGTAAGCTGGCAGCGCTGTTCAAGTCGAATGCGATTCAATATATCTTAGCCTTGCCCCTTCCAAGCAGACACAGTTCATATTTGTTCCTACCAGTAAAAGCGTATTATGTCAGACTAAATGGTTCAAGAAAACTCCTCAAATTCTGGTGTTCGATGTTTGATGTCCAACTGGATAACGTGCGGTTAAATTACAAGTCGGTTTCATTTATAGTAAAGATAATATTTGTACACCTAGATTACAAATACATATACATATATATATATATAATCTAATATATCCCGAGTAACGTATTCTCCCTAACGCGGCTACGTTTCCAGTTTGTTTTTGGCCCGCAGCACGCGAAATCATGCGAATTTTTGCAAGCTTTTGCGTACACTCAAAGCCAAATCAGAATCGCAATCAATATAATAAATCGCATTAAGTGAATTTGTTTTTCGCATTGCGATTCGTTGCTTAATTTAATTCGATTCGCCCGACCTCGTCCCCTCTGCCCGCGGAGGCAGCTGTCAGCTGCAGGATTGCCCCCGCGTTTGCGGGTTCGTCAAGGTAAATTGCTTCACTCATTTGCATGCGAGCCAAACGCCCATTCTGCAGCCAAGCAACCAGCCTCCCCCTGCCGTGCCCCAAATCAACTTAACCACAATATACATTCCCGTGCAGCGGCAACAACTCAATATAAAACTGATTATCGCAAAATTGCAAATTAAAAATTTTCAACTCGCGAATTTTTTCGTGTCCTTTTCCGCTCCAGCGTGGTCTAACATGGCGGGTGACGGGCGGCAACTGTTTGGTGGTTGGGTGTGAAGGAGGGGGAGTGGAAGTGGCGGGTAAGGTGGGGAGGGTGGGGGGCTGATTTCACGCATATGTGACCAGATTTGATTTGCATGCGCAAATCGCATAATTCGCCCGCACGCCGCTTGGCTGATCCTCATCAACGGAACAGGTCCAGGCAGTTGCCCTCTCCCCCCACCACGCCACGCCCACTCTACGCTGCTCCTGCCTAAGCAGTGTCGAGCGCGCTTTGTCCTTATTAAATTTTGCCAATTTTTATTTGCCTTTTTTTTCATCATGTTTTTTTAAGCGAATTAAGAACGAGCGCAAAAAAAATCGCGGTTAACGATTGCAAGTGGCTTTCCGTAAAAGAAAAAAATGTGAATGCGTGTGTGTGTGTGTGTGTGTGTCTGTCAAAATAAACAAGTTTGTGTCACTGCAGAAATTTCATTTAATTTGTTCAGTGCTGACGCGCAGCCCGCCAGGCAGCAGAAGGACCAAAGTTCAATTATGATTGACAGCTAGCCGAATAGCAAATACTCTAGCCAAAGCGAAGATATTGTGTATGTGCCATAAAGTTATGCGAATTGAGTTTCAATTTTTGAAAAGACAGATCGTTCTGCTGCTTATTTCGTTCGCAAGCCGATCTAGCTTAAATTTAATATATTTTATTTGCCATGAACCGGAACCTAAATCGATTTGATTGAATACAAAGCTGCCGAACTGAAGCATATTTTAAATAAATATAAATACCAATTGCAAGAACTTCCCGAAACCCTGTGAAAGCAAACGTGCGGCACAACTACTGCCTAAGAATTTGCATACCCCGCTGCAAAAGGGTACATATGGGCGAAGAGGGAGGGACGCAGAAATGATTCGCTGGCAGACAAAAGGTGCGCAGCGGAAGTTGCCCAACGCCCAACGGAAGCGGAACAACATGCACAGCAACAACAACAATGAGATGTGAAGCTGCGGCTACTGAACCTGAAAAGTGGTTAAATTACAAATTATCCACGGCAGCTGCCACACGAGGCGGGCAACAGCAACAACAAAACAAAATCTGGGCCATATTGTGAAGTCAGCTTGGAGCCAGTTGAAGCCGCACAGGAAAAATAGAAAAAAACAAAATATATGAAAATATGAAGAATTATGCGGCACGTGGGACGCAGCACAGCATGAGTGAGAGAGTGGGACAGTGAGAGGCAGGTGGGTGGCAGCGGGTGACAGGCGGAGGAGGGGGGCGGCTGCTGCTGCTGCTTGGGCCATAAATCAAGCATAGACAGACGCAGGCTGCTCCATAATTCAAGCTCTGCTGCCTAGCCTAGCCCCCATGACTCAAGCAGCCCCCACCACCCATCCCCCATCCCTCGCCCGCTTGCACCCTTATCACCCAAAAAGCTGCCCCGCTGCCCCGCTGCCCGCTGCCCGCCTGCCAGCGCACAGGTGCTGCCTTTCAATTTACACATGTGAATTAAGGTTTTAAAATTGTTGCGACAAAAATGGGCAAAAAAAAAAAAAAGAAGAAGAAAGAAAAGCGCGCGCGTTGACGTTGGGTCCGCGTCCAGGCTCAGGTCCGAGACGGGGCCAAATAATTCATTGTCATGCCCATGTGGCCACCAAGTGGCGCCCAAGTGTGGCACGGTTGGGCGTGGGGGGGGGTTGGCACTGGAAAAGATTAGCCTGCCACAAGGACGCAGCTACGGACCGCACGCCGAGCCCTGCTCATGCCTCTAATACACACCCTGCCCCGCCCACCATCTGGAGTATCCCCCTCCCAGTGACACGTTTGTCGGGCCACATGCTCATTCGCCGGTTTGGTCCTTGTAATCGATTTTTGATTGAATATTGCGCTCGGGCTGCACCCTTCCGCCGTAAGCCCTAACCGTAACCGTTGCCCTTCACACTCAGCACCCGAATCCGTAGCCAGTCCCTCACCCTACCTGCCCTACCATCCCCCCCTCCACTCGTACCCACAGCATGTTGTCACACACATGTCGCTCGTTATAAATTTTCCGCCTTTTCAAATATCAATAACTGTAAATATTATGAACACGTTCGCTTATGGGCTTAGCCAGGGCTACATTTTTTTTTCATTCCTTATTTTATGCTCCCCCTCCCATAGCCTATGCCACTGCCTTGGCCTTGGCCATCCCCGAAGCGTTTGTTTTTGCTATGTGTTTGCCCCTTTGACATGCAACAATCGTGTGGCAAGGCACCGTGGGCATTAGCTGTGCAAAAACGTGCAAATTCTGCAGTTCCTCGTTCGAGTTAAATGCTCGCAGTGTTGCCAGATTGTTTACATTTCAATGCATATGTCAAACATATGTTAGGAACATTTCCAAAACGATTTTTCCACAATTTAATTATTTTCATAATGACTGTACGTGTCAAGTCCAAGTCCGGTTTATTTCAGGTCTTACGGCTTGCGTTTTGCAGCAGTCAAACAATTAGTCAGTCAGTCTGTTAGTCAGTCAAACAATCAGTCAGTCTGTCAATTAGTCCGTTTTTTAATCATTCAGTCAGTCAGTCAATCACTAAGTCTGTTAGTCAGTCAATAACTGCGTCAGTCATTCAGCCAGTCAATCAGTCAAAACCTAACCTATTTTTCTTCCATAATCTACTTTCTAATAATATAATTCCCATTTCCCTTTCTATTCTCTTTTATTTCTCTGATTTAACCCAAAATACTTGAGTTCCCAGCAAAAGTTTCCATAACAATTCCTATTCAAAGTCAGCTCTATAGCTATTTTGTTCCAGAATTCCCATTGTTCGACCTTTTGTCGCACACCTTTAAGAGCTAAATGGCCCAGTGTCCGTGTGTGAGTGTGTGCGGGTTCAGTTTACTTTTATCGTATGTGGCACAGTTGACTTTAAGTCCCCTTCCTCCCGCCATGCCAGAACTCGTACCCCCGCTAAAGCGTGGCCGCATAAATCCAAATATGATCACTTCATAATTTGACATTGATAGATGAGCTGAACCGAAATCGAACCAAAAGGGGTAGACGACAACAACAACAACAACCAGAACAACGGGCACTCAATCATGCACACACACACACACACACACATGGCAGCTGGGGTGTATTATTGATTCAGTGAGGGGTGAAGGGGTTTGTGCCAGGCTGTGGGAGGGGGCACAGTTTGAGCCGTGCGCCTTGGCTGTGGCACAAATTTTGGGTTTGAGAGTCGGTTTTCGGGTTTCGTTTCAGGAACTGTTAATACCCTGTAAACGACAACTGGGTATGTTCAGGCTGTATGCATATATATATATAATTATATATGATTATTACCATATAGATATTGGAAGACTTAATTCCATAAACTATGAATATTTGCTGTATAGCGTAAAATTTGAATATTATTATATAGAAGAGCAGCCGCATTCCGCATATATATATATATATATACATATATATATATGTTCCTAGATCAGCAATGTCTATTTATATGACCTCTTCTTTTCCAGAAGCTGTGCGAGCGCAGCTCAGCGAATTCTGCTGTCAGTCAATCAGTCAATCTGTCAGTTAGTCAACCAGTCAATCAGTCAGTCAGTCAGTCAGTCAATCAGCCAGTCAGTCAGTCTGTTTGGTGTTAAGGAAACAAATTTGACATATATTTTCGGGGCTGTTTTTCGATTATTCGTTTGGTAATAATTGGGCATATTTCACAGGGTGTCTGTTAGTCGATCAGTGGATATATATTTTCGTTGTTTTCTTCTTTTTTTGCCTGGCCTAGGCAATTTTTTTTTGTAGTCGTCCGCATAACGGCGCTTTTGATGGTTGTTTGATTTCTTGTTTTCCAACGATTGATATTTTATCGTCTTGGTCCTTTCTACTCTATGTGTGTGTGTGTGTGTGGGAGTGTGTGTGTGTGTTGTGCTTTCGTCAGCGTTACATGTGGTTGCTTAATAGATTTTTTATGATCTGTTTGCATTTATATTCCTCTTCTTTTTTTTTTTTGCGGCTGTCTCTTGACTGTGACTGTAACCCTTTACAATTGCCAGGGGCAGGGCGCTGGGGCTGCCCTAGGGTCGGGTAGCTTTCTGCTGTGTATGTGTGTGTGTGTGTGTGTGTGTGTGTTATTTCTTTTATTTATTTGTATTTTTTTGCTTCGGGTCATAGACTTGTTTGTCAGTGTCGCCTGTTGTTGTTGCCCTTTATTGATACACTTTCTTCATGTGCATGTAAACATGCAAATAACATTAATAACCCACAGACACACACACACACACACACATACACACACAAGCACACGCACAAGCACACGCACACGACAGGTGCTGGTATCAATAATAAAAGCACGCCATCATCATCATTATCATGTGCAACTTCATCATGCGGCTCAAATTAAGTGTAACTGCAGGTCACAACCTGCATCAAGGCTCAATAAGCGCACAGCCCCCACATGAACCCAAACCCCACCTGCCCTGGCACACACACACACGGGGGCAAGCTCCAACATGGCCCCACCCAGACCTGTACCCAAAGGG